ATACTCGACCGGCAAGTCAAGAAACAACCAAAAAAAACCAACTTCGAAGAGCGATCTACTCCAATCTAAAATTGATGAGATGATTCTCACGATGCCCCAAAGGATCAACGAATTCCACGAAGCGAAAGGAAGATGTACTAGATATTAATTAAATTATAAATATATCAGTTCATGTGAATATGACTGAAAATTTTCATTTTTTTTCTGAAAAGGTGGTGTTTATTTACTTATGACCAGGCTGTGTACTTCTAGCTCTAATAACCAATTGAAGCGGTTACAGCTGTATATCTGAAATAAGTTAAATTTTACTTAGGTTTTTTAAATAATATATAACTAAACAGTTGTGGAAAAAACGTTGATATGGGAACTTACTGTATCAAATCAACCTTCAGTTCTGCATTCAAGTGATAAGAGAGTGGTAATTAACAACTAGCTAAATAGAACGATACATTTTCTACGTGTTGGTAAGAAGAAATATTCAATTAACATGAATATAGGAGTAAGTAAAATCAAGTCGTTAACCTAGAGACATAAAATTAAGTTAGCGTAAAGTATTAAAATCAAATTATTATCGCAGAGAAGTAAAATATAGCTGTTAACGTAAAACAATAAAATTATGTTGTTCACTTACAGAAGCAACATCAAGCTCTAAAAGTAGAAAAGTAAAATTTACTCAACCCATTAAGATAGAGATATAAAGTTGAGCTGTTGACGCAAAGTCAAATCAAACTGTTAAAAATGTAAAATCAAGCTGTTAAAGAAGTAAAATTTAGCTTTTAACGTAGAGATATAAAATGAAACTATTAAGATATAGTAAAAGTTAGCTCTTAACCTAGAGATACAGAATTAAGCTATTAGAATATAGAAAAATTGAAATAACAACGTACTGAAATAAAGTCAAGCTGTTAAGTAAAATTAAGCTTTTAATGTATAATATGTGCAAATAGAACAGAAAATCTTCTCTAAAGACATATTGTTGAAGATATAACAAGTTCAATATCAGACAATAAGCACATCAACACATGAATCAGTAATAACAACGGATTTAGAATACTTGATAATCAATAATTGACACCGTTAGTACTTAATGAAACTCCATAATTACAGACTTCTGCTTAAAAATTAATTTCCATTGTTTTCTTTTTGGTCCTGCTGGTGATTATTAGCCTAAATGTTTCATAATCACTAAGTGAACAGCTTGCAACTTTCTTCTTGTGATTATTAGTCTGAACCATGTAATATAGGCTGATTTATGTTTACATCTCTCACCTTTCGTAGTTTTATATTGCCGATGTCGTCTCCGTTCGATAGTCGACGGTTTGAGCTCGAGATGTTCGATATTCTCCTCCAAATTTTGGTTTCGCCTACTCCTTTGGTTTGCTAGATAGAGAGAGAAAGTATCTTTAAACCCCAACACCCTAACAAGATATATATATATAGTTATTGAGTTACATATAATGAGATACAGCTAGATTATGCCCTCAAACATTGGTGAGTTAATCTGGAATTTACGTAAAAAAAAAGGGATTTCTAACATACGATCAATATTTCACTCTATTATAGAACTTTGCAAGTTGATTATTCAGCACTGATTTTCATCTGAAAGTTTTAGTCAGGAGTTCCTGGAGGAGTCGAAGGAGGACACATCAGATAGGATTCCTGATAGAAACGATACTGATTAATAACAGGCGCTAGATGAAAAAATAAAACAAAACTAAGATATAGCACGTGCCATTTGTCTTTGGATACTGCACTCAGTACAGTAGATTTTCAATTCACAGTAAATCAAATAACGGTAATAATTACAGAAAACTTTCATAGATCATAACTACATTTTACTTGATGCACAACGAAAGGACACATTCTTAGTAGTGTCAATGACTGGAACCCACGAACTACAAGCAATTTATAGAAACACAACCAACAATCTAGTATGATGCAAACATGGAAAACAACCCGCATTTCTGTATAACTGGGTTTGTTGTCCATCCGGGAAGTAAGATTTCGTTACACGGAAAGAGCTTCCTGTATGTGAATATATACATATGGGTTACCAGTATATTTACCTTATTAAACATGTCACAAAAAGGACGGCTAGTGTGGGTTAGTACCCGCAGACCATGTAAATTTATCGGCACAGGATCTGACGAAACAGAGTTAGGCCTAGCAGGCTTTCAGTTATAGATGATTCAGGCAGAGCATTCACGTACAGAAACAAAGTTGAAAAAGGTAGCAACTGCCTACTTCAGAGTGAAAGTTGGAGATAAGGTAGCCCATATAGAAAGAATGACATCTTAGCACAATCAAAAATTAATGAGCGCACAGATATATAACTTCTCTCACTCACTGCTTCTGCCTTTACTTATGCTATTAATTTCTGAATGTCCTCAGTGATAAAGTTGTTCGATTACTTAAACATTGCAATATTGAATTACATCTGGAGGACAGCAAGTCAAGTCTTATCTATAACAAGACCCTCCCCTAGTGGTACTTACTTATCCTGATTGATATGCGAAGACAGTAAAATAAGTTACTAACCTTAAGTTTGGTTTTCGATTTAGTTACGTTCATTCTTGGAATTAAAAATAATGATAATAAATACTTGTTTCATATAAAGTCAAAGACAGAAGACGATCCATTTTGAAAATTTTCGAGCACACATTTTTCACTAGTTTAGAAATAAGATATTCATCTACACATCATATAATTCTAAAGAGAAGCCTAAAGTACACAACTTGTTAATTTCTACTTTAGGTAATTTTCAGTATTCTCACGAATACAATTTGCTAATTCCTACTTTAGGTAACTAATAATGCAAGAGATAGACAAGTACGTTTTTCCTTGAGAAAATCTTATTCACCTTATTCATTCCAAATCAGTTTTAATATACCATATTGATAAAATTGTAAATAAAGAAGCCAACATTCGCGAGTGACTGCAACATGTCTCCCCCACGCAATTCAAATGGCTAATTTTGACATCAGAAAAATCGTGAAACACACATAAAAATCGAAAACTGTCTATATTACTGCTTGGAACCTGCAAGAAGGTATTTTTGGTACCAAATACCATGTAAGTTGGTTGACATACACGTGATATGGTTTACGAAAATACCATATTCTGCTTTCTTCACTGACAACTTTAGCAAAAGAAAAAAATTCAAAAATTATCTATATCTCTGTTTGAGACCTGCAGAGAGTATCTTTGTACTAAATCCCACGTAATTTGGTTGAAATATGGCCAAATAACTTACCTCAAACCACTAAAGTTATGGGTTTATTTAACCTTTTAACCTTCCCCATAAATGACCAAAAATGAGCACATTCCATATTGGTGTATGTACATGTACGGGACCTGAAAAAAGTACCTTTGTACCAAATCCCATGTAAATTGGCCGAAATACGGCGGAGTAATTGTCAAAAAACCCTAAAATCAGGCTTTTGTGGCATCTTGGCCCCCCTATAGTTACTGAAAGTGTGCAAGTCCACCATTTTTGTTTGCCAATGTGTGGGACCTGTAGAAATATATCTTTGTACCACATCTCAAAATATGACCGAGTAATTGACCAAATCCCAAAATTATGCTCTTTTTTTTTTTAGCTCTGACCTTCTAAAAAGACTAAAAACTGGGCAAATCCAATACTTTTGTATGTCAATGTGTTGGGCGCATTAAAATTTATTTTTGTGTCAATTTTAATCTTGATTACTGTAAGTATGACCGCACAGGAGCCCAAAATATACATTTTTGGGTTGGTTGACTTTTGAAATCATAAAATACTTAAAAAGGCTTAAATCAAAACGTTTCTGGGCGTATTGGACCAATGTTTAACCCTGCCAAGTTTCAAGTTAAAGCGTAGAGAAATAAAGGAATGGCGGTCGATTGAAAAGTGTTTGGAAAAAGAAGAAGAAATAATAATATAACAGTTTGTCTCCCTATGGAAACATAATAACCTTTCTATGTTTAACCCTGCCGAGAAGAAGAAACAATAATATAACAGTTTGTCTCTCTATGGAAACATAATAACCTTTCTATGTTTAATTCTGCCGAGAAGAAGAAACAATAATATAACAGTTTGTCTCTCTATGGAAACATAATAACCTTTTCTATGTTTAACTCTGCCGAGAAGAAGAAATAATAATATAACAGTTTGTCTCCATATGGAAACATAATAACCTGTCTATGTTTAACCCTGCCAAGAAGAAGAAACAATAATATAACAGTTTGTCTCTCTATGGAAACATAATAACCTTTCTATGTTTAACTCTGCCGAGAAGAAGAAACAATAATATAACAGTTTGTCTCCCTATGGAAACATGATAACCTTTCTATGTTTAACCCTGCCAAAAAGAATAAACAATAATATAACAGTTTGTCTCTCTATGGAAACATAATAACCTTTCTATGTTTAACTCTGCCGAGAAGAAGAAACAATAATATAACAGTTTGTCTCTCTATGGAAACATAATAACCTGTCTATGTTTAACCTTGCCAAGAAGAAGAAATAATAATATAACAGTTTGTCTCTCTATGGAAACATAATAACCTTTCTATGTTTAACTCTGCCGAGAAGACGAAATAATGATAAAACAGTATATCTCTCTATGGGGACATAATAATCTTCCTATGCATCACACAATTATGCTAGCGCAAATTCTATCGGTCTAAATTCGTTGAGAATACTTTATTAATCCGTTTAATACTGTAACACAACATTTGTAGCATTACTAGCATACAAAATACAAATTATTAGCGAAAATCACAATCATTAGTTGTGCAATAGTAACCCAGATATATTAAAATACTAATTTGCATAATAGTCTGTAATACCACAGCGCAACAAAAAAGTTCATGTTCACAGCATGAGCGACAAGAATCGATGGCTTAGTGTTCCCATTGGGTAAAAGTACAGCTTTTAGACTAACTTTATGAGTTGATAAAAAGTCTTCATTTTTGAGGATGATGTTCAGTACCTAATTCTTCCATTAGAACATCAATATTTGTACAGAAACACAAATATAAGTATCTTGCATGCTGTAGCGAGAAGCAATACTTTGATGGCGACTTCAGAAAATTGAAACTCTTGTTCCTGGAGTTGATGAATTCCATTGCTGTAAGTGAGAGCCAAGTAGTTCCCTATGCTGCTTTGCTAGAGACACGTCATGAATCAGATCATTTAGCTCTTGTTGTGTGATCAGATGAGGCAGTTTATGTTGAGGTGCCACGGAAATAGAATCAATAGATGAAGAGGATGAATACGATTCATTGTCTTATTCTCAGGATAACTCTTCTGTTTCCCAATATGCTGGTGGATGTGACACTGGAAGACCTTTTCAACGAGGTACTGGTTTCATTGTAGATGCAATATCTGGATATCTAATGTATTATTTAGTTTTGCTAGAATATCCAGGAACATTAGTCATGCAAAAATAACAGTTAGTTAGATGATCCTTGGGCTCATGCCATATCATGGGAAGTGCAGATGGCATATTTGCTCTATTATTATTCAGCCACTGTGTCAAACCAGAGGTGCGAACTGTACAACACACATATGGAGCCTAATGTTTTTTCTTGTCACCAATTTTACACAAAAAATAGTGGTAGTAAGCTACCTTTACTTTGTATCAGAAACTGTTTGGAAAAGTTTTGCACTTTCGAACTTTACTTGAACTGGAGGCAGCCAGCACTTCAAATTATTTTCTAAAAATATCAAAGAATTTATGTTCAAAGAGTTAGATTTTAAAAAAAATATTTAAACAACAAAAATTAACAAAATTTGATTATATCACAGGTATAACGAGGAGGAAGATCGGACTTTCTTCTGACTGGGCGCGGAGCGAGGCAAAGTGACCAACTGAGTGAGTGAAAGGCAACTGAGAGAGAGGGGCGTCTGACTCCATCCCTTTTATGCTCAGTCGAGGGACTTCTCGAATGTTCTAGCAAACTGAGTAGGTGAAGGTTTCATGATTCCTGGGTGGAGCAGGTGAGCGTAGGAATGAAGCAAAAGTGGTACAATTCGCTACAATTATATCGACAACAAATAGCACATATGAACAGTATACTTTAGATTTTACACCAATACCAAACAGCCAATGTTTGAAGTTATCAAAAATGTATGCCTTTTACACTAAACTTTTGTTTGTTTGTTTGTTTTGAATTTCGCGCAAAGCTACACGAGGGCTATCTGCGCTAGCCGTCCCTAATTTAGCAGTGTAAGACTAGAGGGAAGGCAGCTAGTCATCACCACCCACCGCCAACTCTTGGGCTACTCTTTTACCAACGAATAGTGGTGTCACATTATAACGCCCCCACGGCTGAAAGGGCGAGCATGTTTGGTGTGACGGAGATTCGAACCCGCGACCCTCAGATTACGAGTCGAGCGC